AAACGACTTTATTTGATTGGTTTATTTGGTCAAAATTTCCCGACATTTATGAATCTTTTAGAACTCCTAAAATACACAATTTTTATGAAAAAATTAAAACTATCATCATAGTAACTTGTTTTATTGAATCAAGTCTAATTATTACATATAGCGTAATTCGAGTCTACAGAGAAAAAAGACCAGTAAATGTTATTCTTAATTTAGAATTTTTAAGTTTGCTTACCGATTTCATTTATCTTAGTTTATCTTATTTTATATTTTATAAACATTTCATGCGTAAAAAATTACCCAAAAAAGCAACATTCTTTATTATATTTATTTCTATCTTACAAATCTTTTTTGAATATGCTTTTTACTGTACCCCTAAAGATGTCGATACAATTTTTTTCATTCTTTTATCCACTGTTTTGACCCGTTCAATCTCTTCATTCTTTTCTAATGACAATATCAGGGACATAAGGGTTAAAGATATTGAACATTTTGGAATATTAGATGGCTCTTCTTATATAAATAAATTTCAATATAAATTTGTTTTTTTACGGATTTCTCAGGTAGACAAAATTTCCGATTACTTAGGTCATCAAAGACTCTATCTGCGAGTTGATAGTAAAGATAAAGAAGCGATAAAATATGTTAAAAAAATCCAAGAATTTTATCGAAATATGGAGTATGAGCGCATTGAAAATACTTACATAGAATTGGCTAAGAAATTTGAAAATTGTTATCGCTGCAGAAAAGATCGTATCAGAGGTAACTTGAACATAGAAGAAAATCAGTTTGTACAATTTGTACAAGTTAAAGAACAAGCTGAGACAAGCGAGAAAGAAAAGAAAACCGAGATAGGCAAAAAAGAATTGGAAACTGAAATAAGCAAAAAAAAAATGGAAACTGTGATAGGTGATGAAGAAATAGACGAGAAAGATAAGAAAACCGAAAATGACGAGAAAAAAAATGTAGAGAAAGATAAGCAAACCGAAGATGACAAGAAAAAAAATAGAGGCATGAAAAACATTAATGACTATAATAGCATTTTTGAAGAAATTATTGCTAAAAAATTTGAAGCACCAGCTGATATAACGTATATACTAGATAGACTTCGCAGAATTAGGGATAATAGATCAAATGTACCAGGGACAAAAATTATTGCTAAACATCTGTGTGAAAACAATGTGAAAGTTTATGCTAATGTGCTTGAAATGGGCTTTTTTCAATATTTTGTTTATTCGCATAGAGCGTATAAAGACGACGACATTGACAACAAAGAAAGTACTAAAGACAAAGAAAGTACTAAAGACAAAAAAAGTAATGGTGACAATGATAACTTTACAATCAATATTGATATTAGTGATATGGAAAGAATATTCAATGTTTTCAAAAAAGGCAGTTGTGAAGAAAATGTGTCCAATATTAAATTCAAAAATTCTAAAGTTATCTGGTTTGTAATTCCAGAATTTACGAGACATGAACTTAAAAGAAAAGATGAACTTACAAGAAATGATGAAGATTCGATGAGAAAAAAATTTATGAGAAGAGGATTCCTTGCAAAACATGCACAAGAATGTAACTATTG